ACATCTCACATGTTACGGAGGGTGTTGCCAACGCATTCTCCAAAAGCGCCCGAGTCACGAACATTGGTTTAGAGAGTCCCTTCCGATAGCAGCCCTAATGCGCCATTTATATTGCCAGCTTTGGCGTTTAGTCGACCGGGATCAGTCGTTTCCGCCAGCTCCTTCCCCAACCAGGGCTCAGCGGGTAGCAAAGTGGCTACGGAAACGCAGTGAACTGCAGCGGGGATTGAGTCTGCGCTCTGCCGTCACCCGGATGCAGGACCGGTGTTACGGTGTATTCCGTGACCCGTCAGATTAGGTGACCTCGATCGAGCTGACAAAACGCTTTATAACTGCTTGTGTTGACACCTGCTGAGAAAAAAGAAGAGCATAAATAGGTTTACATTTATATACATATACATTATATACAGTATACATTTTGATAGCTATCATAGCAAATTAAACCAATTTAAAAGACATCAATATCCTTAAATTATTGTAAGTTTAATAGAGGGAGTGTTATTATTTCTAAACACCTATGTATGGTCATTTTGTGTGGCTCAAAATTCAATTATAATTTTAAAAAAATCCTCAAAATCAAAGTCCTTATTTTTGCCACAATCTTAACGTTTTTGGCGCTGTGAGCTCTTCAAACAATTTTTAGTTATAATTTTTTTTACATAGCAACACAAGGAATTCAGATAGCCCTGCGGCCCCCTGCTGGCTAAAGAAGAGTCCCGAGTAGCCTCAATGCTCGAGGGCTGGGAGGGAAGCAAAACCTTACCCCAGTGACATCTGTCAGACCTTTGAAGAGTGGTTTAAAAGTGCAAACAAATAACGCAGGGAGACAATGTAGCCACAAGCATCTTTTACTAACGCCCTTTCCCACTGAAACGCGATATAAGGGTACTCCTCTGGTATTCTATTCCAATCTATTGTGCATGTCTGAAAAATAGGCCGTATTTCCTCATTCCTTATGTTCCCCAAGGAAGAAGATTGAGGTTATTTTGGCTCTGCAGAGAATTGGACACAAAGCTGGAAAACCTGGTTAAATATTCACCTTTGTGATATGTCATTCTTTTAATTAGCCCATTAAAAAACTTCACGTGTGGGCATATAGTTTTATTTTAACTGATTCAGGA